AGCTGGAGTCATCAGGTTTTTTTCTGGAGCTATTAAATGGGGTGTCCATGGGTGCTTTTATCTTAAAAAATGTGGCTAGTGCTTTCCAACACTCCCTTGCCCTGTGATTTTTTTTTAAGCAACTGAGAAAACTGCAACTTAATAATATTAAAAGGATTTGATTTTCCCCACTTTGATTTGTTTAAATTGGAGAAAGAAGAGCAATTCCTTTTATTCACAATAATAGCTAACTTACTCTTCTACTGTTTTATTAACTCAATCCTCAGAACAAACCAATGATGTGAATACTGTAATTATTCTCATTTTACAGAAATGAAAAGTTAAATGAATACTTCTGGTAATTATACAGGACTGTTTGATTAGTATTTGCTATTAACTAATTAATTTTTGAGATGGAGTCTGACTCTGCTGCCCAGGCTGGAGTGCAGTGGCATGATCTTGGCTCACTGCAACCTTTGCCTCCTGGGTTCAAGCAATTGTCCTGTTTCAGCCTCCTGAGTAGCTGGGACTATAGGTGCATGCCACCACATCTGGCTAATTTTTGTATTTTTAGTAGAGACGGGGTTTCACCATATTGGTCAGGTTGGTCTTGAACTCCTGACCTCAGATGATCCAGCTGTCTCAGCCCTCCAAGTGCTGGGATTACAGGTGTGAGCCACCGCGCCTGGCCTGTGTTAGTATTTTTAATGATAAATTCCATGTTAGAAAATTTCTACTGATGTGTTTTTTAAATCAATATTTCGTACACTCAAAATCTAAAATTTAGTATATGAGCACACTGGTAAGAATGGGAGGCAGAGTTTTGACTGTAATAACATTCTATTATTTGGTAAATATCAGTAAAACAAGGTATAATTTAAATTTTAAAATAGGTTATGAAAATAAATGCTGCATGCTTATTTTTCTTTTCCTCTATTTTTACTTTACACAGGGCCAGTGCCTCAGTTTCAATCCAGGTAACCTTTAAATGAAACTTGCCTAAAATCTTAGGTCATACACAGAAGAGACTCCAGTCAAGAAGAAACTGGAAAGAATGATGTTGTCCTTAAACAACCTACAGAATATCATCTATAACCCGGTAACTGATTTCTATAAAATAACTTTCTACCTATGGCAAGACTGAGAGAAAATCCAATAGAATAGTAATTATCTGGTGGGAGATGGGGCAAGAATAAAAGCCAGTGAACATATGTAAAGTACCTCCTATGTAATAGGGATGGTGGTGGGTGCTGACTGTAAAACAGGTATGGCTCTTGTCCTCTAGCAGAGGAAGAAGTCACAATGACAATATGGTATGAGGAAACAACGTTGTGAACAGGGAAGTCTGAGTACAATGGAGGGAATGCCAACTTTTGGTGATGGCACGAGGCTCAGATAATCGTAAAATGTAATTTTTTCTTTTTTTGAGATGGAGACTTGCTCTGTCGCCCAGGCTGGAGTGCAGTGGTGCGATCTCGCTCACTGCAACCTCCACCTCCCAGGTTCAAGCGAGTCTCCTGCCTCAGCCTCCTGAGTAGCTGGGACTACAGGCACATGCCATCATGCCTGGCTAATTTTTGTATTTTTAATAGAGATGAGGTTTCACCATGTTGGACAGGAGGGTCTTGATTTTTTTGACCTCGTGATCCACCTGCCTTGGCCTCCTAAAGGGCTGAGATTACGGGCATGAGCCACCATGCCCGGCATAAAATGTAATTTTTAAAGGAAAATGGATTTCTCACTCTACAAGTTTTTCATTTTCTTTTTTAATTAGAACTGTCCCTGAGAAGTTAATGCCTCGACCTTTCCCTCAGCCTTTCAAATAGTGCTTGGCATTTGGGCAAGGAAAATGTGAAAAGCCAGTGGGGGAGATGGAGAGTAAGAAGTAGTAGGGTCTTGTGTAAGGATTGTGTGCAGTTCAGGCTGGTCCTGGAACGCCTGAATGGCTGTAATTGCTGGAAATTGCCCTGTAATCCTGGGCAGTAAAGAACTTGTTTTAGTTTTATGTGGTGGTGAGAATCTTTAGGAATGTCTTGTTCTCACTTATTTGAAGCTGAGTCCTGAATGGAGGTATGAGAAAGGACAGCCACTTTTTTAGTAACGCCCCCCCCCCAGAAGATTCTCGGGCAAAAGGAAGCGTGAGAGCCCTTGAAATAAGGCCCTAAACTAGTTTTGTTAGTGTGTGTGGGTTCAAGTTTTTGTTATTTACTTTATAGCTATAATTCCTTTTCCTCTAAGTTTTAATGTCATTTTGTAAGAATGAGGTACCACCGCCATATCGAGTAAAGTCAGTTTTAGGAGAAGTAGCCTTTCAGTGGTAATAAGTTTAAAAAAGATGACTTCCTGAAATGGAACCTAGTGAGACATTTAAAATGATTTTGTGCATGTTAGAGTTAAAAACAACTCAAGGTTGTAAAATGATTTTCTGCAAAGATCTTTAAAAAACAACAGAAGACTAGGCTACCTGCCAAGGGTGTCTGAAGGAACATCTTGGCTCAAGCTGGGAGGATGGATGAAGGTTACACTGTTCATTTCTGCTCTTCACACAGAAAAGAAAATAATTTTATGGGTAAAATTCCTGCATATCTTGATTCTAGCATACTGATGATTCCTGTAGTTTCTGGAGTCAGTACTCTCAACTATTGAGGTGGAACACGAATAAGTAGACTTCATTTCTTGAGGAAGGGGATCTGGAGAAGTTGTTCTGCTCCAGAGCAGGAAATGCCTTTAGTCCTATGGAATGGCCTGGATGCTGTCCTCAGGATAATGCATTTCCAAGGGAAATATTTTTGGCAAATAGCTTTTTTTTCTTTCTTTTTAAATTTATCTGTTTTATTATCAGTTCTCACAAAAGAATAGGAAAGGTTAGAGGAAGAAAGACTGAACTGAATGGCAAAACCATTTTGCTCTGTCTTTAAATGTCACTACTGTAAAATATCTGTAGAATTAAGGGTCCATATTGCACTGAAGTTCTCTCATTTGTAGCTAGTTGCCCTTTCAATGTTCCAAAATAAAAAAGGCTGCAAATAACGTAGTTATTTGATTTAATTAATTAATTAAAAAAATTTTTTTGAGACACAGTTTTGATCTTGTCACCCAGGCTGGAGTGCAATGGCACAATCTCAGTCACTGCAACTTCCGCCTCCCGGGTTCAAGTGATACTCCTGCCTCAGCCTCCCAAGGAGCTGGGATTATAGACATGCACCACCACACCCAGCTGATTTTTGTGTTTTTAGTAGTTTCTCCATGTTGGCCAGGATGGTCTCGAACTCCTGACCTCAGGTGATCTGCCCATCTCCACCTACCAGAGTGCTGGGATTACAGGTGTGAGGCACTGTGTCTGGCCAATTTAGTTATTTTAAGTTAATAAATTAGTATCTTTTATAAGCTAGACTTCGAAAAACTGTTTTCAGCCGGGTGCGGTGGCTCATGCCTGTAATCCCAGCACTTTGGGAAGCCAAGGCGGGTGGATCACGAGTTCAGGAGTTCAAGACCAGCCTGGCCAAAATGGTGAAACTCTGTCTCTACTTAAAATGCCAAAATTAGCCAGGTGTGCTGGTGGCCTCCAGTAATCCCAGCTACTCTCAAGGCTGAGGCAGGAGAGGCGCTTGAACCTGGGAGGCGGAGGTTGCAGTGAGCCAAGATGGCGCCACTGCATTCCAGCCTGGGTGACAGAGCGAGACTCCGTCTCAAAAAAACAAAAACAAAAAAACCTGTTTTCTTGCATCATGGTTGTTTTGTTACTGACAGGTTCCAACAGTGAGCAAATGCTTATTGAGTGTCTGCTGTGTGCTTTGTTAGGCGTTGTAAACACACTGCTACTTTTACATTTTTATTTCATTAGTATTTCTAAAGACTTTTTTAAGACAGAGGCTTGCTCTGTCACCAAGGGTGGTGCAGTCTCACCCCACTGCAGCCTCCACCTCCTGGGCTCAGCCACCGAATACCTGGGACTGTAGGCATGCGCCACCATGCCTGGCTAATTTTTGCATTTTTTTTGGTAGAGACAGGAGTTTTGCCACGTTTCACAGTCTGGTCAAGCACTCCTCCTACCTCGGCCTCCCAAAGTGTTGGGATTATAGGCGTGAGCCACCATGCCTGGCCTATTTCTAATATTTTGGTCCACATTGGTGTTAGACCAACTGTTTACATTAAGCTTTCCTGGAAAAGATGAAGTAAATATTGTTACTGGCCTATGTATTTTTTCCCTTATTTAGTATGTTTCTTTGACTAGTTTAATAGGATTCCAAGACTTAAAAAAATCAGGCTCTAAGGCTGGGTCCAGTAGCTCACACCTGTAATTCCAGCACTGTGGGAGGCCAAGGCTAGTGGATCACTTAAGCCCAGGAGCTTAAGACCAGCTTGAGCAACATAATGAGACCTTGTCTGTATATAAAAATACAAAAATTAGCTGGACACTGTGGTGCACATCTGTAGTCCCAGCTAAAAGGAAGGCTGAGGTGGGAGGATTGCTTGAGCCCAGGAGGTTGAGGCTGCAGTGAGCCGTGAGTGTGACATTGTGCTCCAGCCTGGGTGACAGAGAAAGAACCAGGCTCAAAAGTAAAGATAAAAAGTCAGAGGCCAGACGCGGTGGCTCATGCCTGTAACCCCAGCACTTTGGGAAGCTGAGGCAGGCAGATCACTTGAGGTCAGGAGTTCGAGACCAGCTTGATTAACACGGTGAAACCCTGTTTCTGCTAAAAACACAAAAATTAGCCAGGCATGGTGGTGGGCTCCTGTAATCCCAGCTACATGGGAGGTTGAGGCAGGAGTATCATGTGAACCCCAGAGGCGAAGGTGGAGTTTACATGAGCCAAGATTGCACAATTGCCCTCCAGCCTGGGTGATGGAGTGAGACTTCATCTTAAAAAAAAAAAGTCAGGCTTCCTTTTCTCTTTTTTTTAGAGACAGAGTCTTGTTCTGTCACCCAGGCTGGAGTGTGCAGTGGCACAACCTCAGCTCACTGCCACCTCTGCCTTCTGAGTTCAAGCAATTCTTCTGCCTCAGCCTCCCAAGTAGCTGAGACTACAGGCATATGCTGCCACGCCCGGCTAATTTTTTTTTTTTTTTTTTTGTATTTTAGTAGAGACAGCGTTTCTACTGTGTTGCCCAGCCTCATTTCAAACAACTCAGCTCAGGCAATCCACCTGCGTCAGCCTCCCAAAGTGCTAGGATTGCAGGTGTGAGCCACCGCGCCTGGCTGCTTTTCTTTCTGTTCAAATTGAAATTGAATAAATAATTTGGAAGACATTATCTTCACTTCATATCAGGGATGCTGTCAGTGAAATCTCTTGTTTGGCAGTTCATTAGCTACTTACATATTTTATTATTGTTGTTGTTTATAGAGTTCTTAGGATACGATTAAATGCTAGCTGGTTAAGAAATTACTTAGAAATGAAACAGAATTGGTTGTTACTCCAAGTTAATAAGCCACCTGTCAACATGAATCCTACCTGGTACAGAAAAGCTGAACATTCCAGTTTTCTTAGGAACCTTGCTTCCATGTTTATCCTTTTCTCCTTAGTATTCTAAGTACCTCCCTTTCTACCTTACAATTTAGTCTTAAAACGCTCTAAATAAAGTCTTTCTTTTGTAACCTGTGAGGTCCCTTCCAGCGTTTGTGCTATTTTTCTTCTTGTTTTTTGTTGCCTGCTTTCCTGAGTGAGAGCTGATTTCCTCACTAAGGCTCTGCTCTCTGATTTTTCTCTGTCTTAATTTCTTTTTTGGCTTTACTAATAAAATTTTGTCTTTGATGTCTCTATTTCCTTTATGTCTGTACCGACCACTCATAGATTTTTTTTGCATATGTTTCCAGTTCACCTAATGTGAAGCTCCAACTCTCAGTTACTCAGCCAGCCCTTCAAGACTAGGAGTTCAAAACCAGACTTGCATCTTCCTTCCCAAACCAGCTTTCCTCTTGCAATTTTCCATTTTTGTCAGAATCTTTCTTCTGTGTGACTTTTGCCTCCTCCCTTGTTTCCTAGCACCCAATAGTTGGAAGATAATCTGTCTTCAAAATTTTAAACTACATGTATGTCCAAACCAGTGACTTTTCCTTTTTATAAAAATTTTCATTGAAAAATTTAAAGATAATATGTG